TTTTTTTAGCAGCTGTCCTTGTAATGGATTCTATATGTCTATCTATTCAGGACAGAAGCCATCGGTAAACATGGCCTGCAAATTTCGTTTGTTCATGGCTTCTTAGATAGTGATGTATTTTTTAAAATCAGATTTACCTCAAGCAAGGCAGTAAAGCCACTAAGACACAAGGGGTTACTGATTAGTGTGTGGAAGAAATAGAAAACAGAAACATTACTAAGGAGTGAGGACAATGGAAGCGTAATCAGAAAGACAGCAGATAACAATTGGCATTTCTTTTACATTTTTGAAGATCAAAGTTGGCAGGAAAGCAGGGAGCCGGAAGAGAGTTCCACAAGCAGGAAGTGTGAGAAAATAAAATTTAGTATAGCGCTTACTGTTGCATCTAGCCAATTCAATCGATGAGACCTAGCTGCCAATCTAGTACTGCGCTTAAATTCATAAATTCTAGGTACCAAAGCGAAGAAGTCATCCGAACAATTACCATGAAAGTGTTTATAGAAAAGGCGTGGAGAGGCAACCTTACGGTGGCTGGAAAGCATGGAGCCAGACGTGAGTTCCCCAAGCGAGAAATGCGAGAAAAGAAACTGTTAGTATAGAACTTACGGTTACATCTATCCAGCGATGCCAGTCTAATACTACGATTAAAGTCTATGTACCATAGGAAAGAGCTCATCCGAACAATTACCATGAAAGTATTTATAAAAAAGTCACAGAGAGACAACCTTAAGCCGAGCCGCCAGATCAAGACCAATAATATTGCTTATTCTTCTTTGGATTTTATCAAGGAGCTCAAGGTAAATACCAGCGGCGCCGAAGCATATGTGATAGCGATATTCTAAACATTGGCGAATGGTAGACTTATAGGTATGTAAGATAGATTCTGGAGAGAAAAATTGTCTAGCACGTTATGGTAAACCAAATTTCTTAGCAACTCACCTAGCAATGGATTCAATATAGTCTTTCCACTTCATGTCAGCTTAGAATGTTAGCTCGAAAAGGATTTCTTGGAGGTTAACGCGAGCCTTACTGATGGAAGGCAGAAGGGGACCACTCAGATGATTAATGAAGAGGAGTTTAGCTTTGAGGACGTTGAAATTAAGAAGCCATTCTTTGCGCCGGTTAACGACAGACTTGATATCGCTTTCGACATTGGTTGGCATTAGTTTTGTTGAATTTATATTTTGGTATACAGTTTGATTTAAGAGATTGTCGGATATTATATGGATTAATGTCATGAAAGTTTTTTCATGTTTGATTGATTTTGTTTAGCGGCATCACAACATCTTTATGGGTTAATTAAGGCCGAAATCTAAACATTTTGAGCACAGTTGTATGCTTCAGCCACAGGTAAAATGCATTGTTGGTTATTTTGTTATAAACAGGTATTGTTGATCATTGTTTTATATAAAAATGTATTTCATAGCATTTTGTTTGGGGCAGTCAATATTTTCCCATAGCTGTGACCCGAACAGGTGCTACTACCCTAAGTCAGAGTGAACTTCGGAACTACAACAATTAAGAGGTGGTTCCACGCTCCTCACAAGCTCCCGATGAGAGGCCTTGCTGCCGGATATAGTTTATCGTCATACCCAGGACTGTGGTAAATTTAACAATCATAGGACATATTGAAAGCAAGAGCTGTAAGACAGTGAATAAGATGAGTTTGCGTGAACGAAAGAGAAGTACGATCATAAAGACAAAGAGAGAAAAAATACTGGACGGCATGGAGAGCCACCTCCTGAAGGGACATGGCGGATAGGGAGAAGTACGGAGACGATCCCTCCTTTAAGTTAAACAATCGCATTTCTGATGTTTCAATTATTTGTCCTTTTTCTAGAGAAATGAAAATCTAAAAAAAAAAAAAAGGTTTATATAACAATCTGTTTACAAAACAGAAAACAATTTCTTTCTCAGGGTTTTGTGTTGTTTTTATTTAAGTGCCACCAACGCATTTCCTGAAATAGAAACTCATAATTTCTTAGCGACATTCCAGTCTTACGATGGTGAGGAGGTGGGTGGGGGCGAACTGTTAAGACGCCTCCACCACAAAATCAGCGATTTGAGTTCGAATAAGGATAAAAACAGTTCAAGTACAATTCACGCTAACACGTTTGGGAAAACTAACAGTGTGTCTATTATCACGCCTCCACAGCTATGATTGGCAACCTACCTTGGAGAAGGATAATTCTAATTTCAAAATTATCGATAACCTTATAAAAGGCATGAATCCACTATTCCCTTCCCTACACAACTATGACTTTAATCGAACAGCAAATTGGGCACTCCAGCATTGATTGGCAACCTAACTTGGAGAAGGATAATTCTAATTTCAAAATTATCGATAACCTTATAAAAGGCATGAATCCACCATTCCTTCCTACACAACTATGACTTTAATCGAACAGCAAATTGGGCACTCCAGCATTGATTGTCAACCTAACTTGGAGAAGGATAATTCTAATTTCAAAATTATCGATAACCTTATAAAAGGCATGAATCCACCATTCCCTTCCCTACACAACTATGACTTTAATTGAACAGCAAATTGGGCACTCCAGCATTGATTAACCTAACTTGGAGAAGGATAATTCTAATTTCAAAATTATCGATAACCTTTGAATCCACCATTCCCTTCCAGCAATATGACTTTAATCGAACAGCAAATTGGGCACTCCAGCATTGATTGGCAACCTACCTAGGAGAAGGATAATTCTAATTTCAAAATTATCGATAACCTTATAACAGGCATGAATCCACCATTCCCTTCCTACAGAACTATGACTTTAATCGAACAACAAATTGGGACTCCAGCATTGATTGTCAACCTAAATTGGAGAAGGATAATTCTAATTTCAAAATTTGATAACCTTATAAAAGGCATGAATCCACCATTCCCTTCCCCACACAACTATGACTTTAATCGAACAGCAAATTGGGCACTCAGCATTGATTGTCAACTAACTTGGAGAAGGATAATTCTAATTTCAAAATTATCGATAACCTTATAAAAGGCATGAATCCACCATTCCCTTCCCTACACAACTATGACTTTAATTGAACAGCAAATTGGGCACTCCAGCATTGATTGGCAACCTAACTTGGAGAAGGATAATTCTAATTTCAAAATTATCGATAACCTTATAAAAGGCATGAATCCACCATTCCCTTCCCTACACAACTATGACTTTAATCGAACAGCAAATTGGGCACTCCAGCATTGATTGGCAACCTACCTAGGAGAAGGATAATTCTAATTTCAAAATTATCGATAACCTTATAAAAGGCATGAATCCACCATTCCCTTCCCTACACAACTATGACTTTAATCGAACAACAAATTGGGCACTCCAGCATTGATTGGCAACCTAACTTGGAGGAGGATAATTCTAATTTCAAAATTATCGATAACCTTATAACAGGCATGTACCCACCATTCTCTTCCCTACTCAACTAGGACTTTAATTGAATTGCAAATTCGTTTCTCGAGCCTTGGTTGGCAACCTACCTTGGAGAAGGATAATTCTAATTTCAAAACTATCGATAACACTGGAAAAGGCGTGATTTCACCTCTTCTTGCCCATACGTAGCTTGCATGGCAGATTGGGTTTTCTAGTTTTGGTCGGCAACCAGTTTTGGACAAGGAAAACTCATAACAAAAAAAAAAAGATATGAATCCATCTCTTCTCCATTCTTTTATGTGCCGTGTCCTTTCAGGACGTAGGCGGTCATGGCTCTCCACTTTGTAGCTCTCAATAAGTTTTCTCCCTTTGCTACTTGCCCCCCCCCCACCAAGACCAATTTCTGTCATCCATTTGCTTAAGCCTGCTAATTATTTCACGCGTTGCTTTCCCTTGTTTCCCTTTTCCTCTGTCCGCCCTGTGAGTATCAGATTCTCCATGTCCTCCTTTCTCATTACGTGTCCCAAAAATTTCAGCTGCCTGTTCCTGATGTTAAGTATAAGCTTCGTCATTGTTTGCACCCTCTCCAAAACCTCATCGTTGCTCACACACTCAGTCCATGTTATCCTCAGCATCCTTCTGTAGAACCATATCTCTGTTGCCTCGAATCTCTTCTTCATCTTTGAGGAGACCGTCCAACATTCGGTAATGTAGAGGACAGATATCACGTAGCAGTTCAGTACTCTTTTCTTTGTTACCAAAGAAATCATCTTGTCTCGTAATACATTTTTTTCTATCCTCTGCCAGCCGCAATGATGGAGAAAGCATTACCTCGAACCATGGCCAGTGAGACACGCTGCAAGAGCCACTCCGTTTCGCGAGGCTCGTCCCTTAATCGAGACGCAATCGCGTCAATCCTCCGAAGGAACGCCATCAAACGAGGGCCAATAACCCCAGAAGTCTCCACTGCCATAGGAGTAAAAAAAAAACTATCAGCAAGAGAAGAATATTTAACTATTTTTTTTTATCTCTGCGTCCCGGGGCGACGGATCCTGGCTCAACCGCGGACCTGATCAAATTACCGGCGGAAAATGTATCCGCACAGGTCGCATCCCAAATCAACGACTTCCCTATTTTAAAAGTGGAAAATGGTAATGCCATCCGGCCGCTTTCCATCACCACGGTCAAGGCCTACGGGTTCGATTTGCGAAGGGAACCCAGCTGAATTCAGACATCTTCTGATGATGTCGTTTATTGCTGCATGGCGTAGAAAGCGACCTGCACTACGACGACAGGAGAGAGGACGCAAACCAAACTCATTAATGGAAGCTCCACATCTGCATCTGTGACGCTCATATAATTTGAGTCCAAGACGGATCGCGACTCCGACCCGAGTGCACTTATCATCTAGAAGGGTACCGGTAGATGAAGAGGGCACTGTGTTGAGCCAAGCGCCACTACTCGGTTGTAAAGCAGATAGTAGAGAGGCGAGGCGATGCTGATCCAGAGAGAGCCTCAAATTAGTAAAATTGGCCTCGCATTTTATTTTATCCCAGCTTTTTTGTTTTAATGTGTCTAGTGGAATATAAAGTAATTCTTATGCTCAGACGCTGCAAGCTTGTTCAAAAGAAATACCCGTAATACTCTGCCTAGCTTTTGGAACACGGCTTTGGCCATCCCAATACGTCTTTGGATTTCAGCGTCGCACTTACCGTTCTGTCAAAACGCTTGCCATGTATTTAAATTTCCGCACCTGCTTGATTTTAGTGTCCCCGCTCTGTAAATTGCATTTCGGGCTCATCCTTTTACTGATGACCATGCATTCTGTTTTCTTGTAGTTTATGCTTAGTCCCTTCTTCTAGCCCTCCTTACCTACCCTCGGTAAGAAGTTTTGGAATTTCTTTTCCGTGTCTTTTATCAGAACTGTGTCATTTGCGTATCTTATATTGTTAAGATTGTGGCCGCCAATGATGAATCCCGATAGGATTTCTATTTCTCTCAAAATTCTGCAAATACGGCACGTCCTGGGTATATATATATATATATATATATATATATATATATATATATATATAATTTAAATAAAAACAGACCATTTTAAGGTTCCATGTAATAAATTATTTCACCACAGCCCTTTTAAAAAGGACTGCGGATCATCAGACTTTACTTCCAAACAAAAAATGAAAAGAAAATTTACACATTTTTGACGGGCGTATTAAACATATGTAAATTAACGAAGTGAGGAAGTGAGGGGGGAGAGAGAAGACATGAGTGAGTTAGCAGATATTGACACATTTAAACGGTTAACTTAACGGAAGTTATATATTGATATCGAAGGGGTAGAGAAGAAAAACCCATAGAGAGAAAAAGAGAGAAGGAAGTTAAGAGAGAAGAGAAGATGTCACTAATTTTCTTTGTAAAAAAAAGCTAGAAACAGACGTTGTTATTTTGCTTTACTTTGAAAGTAACTATATATATATATATATATATATATATATATATATATTTGGTTGGATAGATGTGAGTTTGTGACCCTAGATTTCACGCTTTAGCGATTGTCAGAATTTGTCTGACGATCGCCAAAGCGTGAAACCCAGGGTCACAAACTCACATCTATCCAACCAAATATGTTAGCTCTATCTCTGATATTGAGCGCTTTCTAATAAGTACCGCGTATATAATATATAAATAATTATACATATATATATTTATTTATATTTATATACACTTTTCACACACATATATATATATATATATATATATATATATATATATATATATATATATATATATATATCGTTGAAAAAAGAACAGTAGCCCACACATATTTATCTATCTAGTCTTTGTCTTTACACCTTTTTCTCTTTACACCAATTTTCTCTCCAATACCGAAGTCTTAAAATATACTCGTCCCGATATATATATATATATATATATATATATATAAAGGGACTAAGCATAAATTACAAGAAGACTGACTGCATGGTCATCAATTAGAGGATGGGCCCGAAATGTGATTTGCAGGTTGGGAACACTGGAATCAAGCAAATATCTGGAAAGCGTCTTGACAGAAGACGGTAAGTGCGACATTGAGATCCGTAGATGTATTAGGATGGCCATGGACGCATTCTAAAAGCTGGGCAGAGTATTGCAAGACAGGAGGATTTCTTTGGTAACAAAGAAAAGAATACTGAGCTGTTACGTGACATCTGTCCTTCTTTATGGCTGCGAATGTTAAACGATTTCCTCAAAGATGAAGAAGAGACTCGAGGCGACGGAGATGTGGTTCTACAGAAGGATGCTAAGGATATCATGGACCGAGCGTGTGTGCAACGATGTGGTCATAGAAAGGTTGCAAGTTAAGACTTATACTTAACATCAGAAAGTAGCAGCTGAAATTTCTGGGTCGCATAATGTGGTAGGAAGGCCTGGAGAATCTGATACTCACGGGTCGAATAGAGGGGAAAAGAAACAAGGGAAAGCAGCGCTTGACATACTTGGTGATCTTGAGCAGGTGGATGACAGAACGTGGTCTGGGGCAGGAAGCAGAGGGAAGGAATTTGTTGAGAGCTGCATGGGATAGAGGGAGGTGAAGAGCCATGATCGCCTACGTCCTGAAAGGAGACGGGACATAAGAAGAAAGCTAAAAAAAAAAAGACAGAAGAGAATTAAACGGCTTATTGTTGACGTTTATATTTTTTATTACGATGCTATATTCTCTTTTAAAAATTTAAGCCTCAAACAATTTTACTCCCTGGGCTACTGCTCCCGTCGTCTCACCCTGGCTACACCCACGTTCCGTATAGTTTCATTTTTTTATTTTTATAAACATGGCTGCCTGTGCACGCAATATTTATCCATCAGCGATCTGAAGATATTTATTGCCTTCGGTTTTATTGGTATCATCATTTAAAAAATAAAAAAAAGCCCAGCTCGTGTCTACAGGAGGCGGTAAGTAAATTGTGGCCATTTTATATTTTTAATTTCGCGCATGCGCGACTTTTGTTTTTGATTTTTTCGACTTCACAGAATAGTAAGGTCAGTTGGGCACCGTCTGTTTCCTACCTCCCATGCTTTCTTTCTTTTCTTTCTTTCTTTCCTTCCTTTTTCTTTCCTTCCTTATTTCCGTTCTTTCTTTCTTTCTTTCCTTCCTTCCTTCCTTCCCTCACTCCTTTCTTGCTTCCTTCATTCCTCTTTTGCCTTTCCTGTCCTTTCTTTTCCTCGCCTTCCTTCCTCCCTACCTTCCTTCCTATCTGTTCATATCCATCTGAATCTGTTTATATCTATCTATCTATCTATCTATCTATCTATCTATCGTTAAATTCCCAGATGAATTCTGTGGACAAGACATATTGGTATCAAATGACAATTGGAAAAAAAATTTTAATTTACAATTTTTAATTTAAATTTAAGGTAATTTACATTAACCAGAAAAAAGGCTTAGACACAAGCGTCTATCTTTTTAATTTTGAATTTTAATGTAACTGTAACAACAAAAACATTTCGATTTTATTTTTGCCTTGAAAAAGTAGGAAGACGAAACGCGTCGGCAAAATGTAAGATTTTTTTCCAATTGTCATTTGATACCTATCTATCTATCTATCTATCTATCTATCTATCTATGTATCTATCTTTTTGTACTTTTTAACAATGTTAGGTAAATATGTATTTGTACATTTTAACACTGTTAGGTAAATATGTCTTTGAATCTAATTTTATTCAACTTGCATTTTCAAAGATATTTAACTAAATAATACACACACACACACGCGTGTATATATATATATATATATATATATATATATATATATATATATATATATATATATATATATAACATGAATCATTCATACAAAAAATAGATTAGTAAAGTTAATGAAAAACATCTCGCAAACAAATTTATTAAAGTTACATTAACCCACGAACCTCTTGAAAGTTTTTGAATCGAGAAACCACCTTTTAATTGTTTTGTGTTTCTAAGTCCACCTTGATTTATTGTGGCAGCACATATTAGGGTCCCAGCTATGGGAAAACAGTGAAACTCCTCCCCCAAAACAAAATGTTATGAAAGCTTAAACTACATCAGACAGCAAGGTCTCACCTCTTAATTACTGTTGTTCCCATGTTCATGCTGACCTGGGGAGGTAGCAACTGTCAGGGTCCCAGCTATGGGCAAATAGTTAACACCAAAACTGGGTTCAATCCCTATGAAATTATTAAAATACATTTTTATAGTAAAAATACCAGCGATATATTTTCATAGTAAAAAATTACCAACAATGAATAAAAATAATGCCAGCAATAAATTTTTGAAAAAAAATATTTCCAGCAATACATTTTTAATAAGAAAAATTACGAGAAATACATTCTTGAAAAAAAATATTTCCAGCAATACATTTTTATTAAGAAGAACTACGAGAAATACATTCTTGAAAAAAATATTTCCAGCAATACATTTTTTATTAAGAAAAATTACGAGAAATACATTCTCGAAAAAATATTTCCAACAATACATTTTTTATTAAGAAAATTTACGAGAAATACATTCTTGAAAAAAAAAATATTACCAGCAATACATTTTTGTATTTTAGGAAGTAATTACTAATGCTCCTAAAAATTTACAACATTAAATGACCCATAAGGATTTGATATGCCGCTAAACAAATAAACCAACGACTTTACCGATGTCATCAGTTCCCAACTATATATTTAAACAGATGACACAACTCCGACAAATTCGACAAAAACTGGCAACTGCTCTCGAAAAAGGGCCTCCAAACAATGGTTAACTGGGGCAAGGAATGGCTTGTAAATTTTAACACAAAACAAAACGGACATGAAATGGAGTGATTATATTTAACCGATTAGTACTTCTACTCGTAGTAAAGTTAACTCACTGTGTCGTACCAGAAAATTAGTAAATTTGCATTAGATTTAATTGTATTACTTTTTTATTTTTTTTATTCGGTCGAGGTAGCTGGGAGACTCACGCCAACCATCATGGTCCTGCATCAAGGTCAGAAGGTCATTAGGGTGGTATTCTTTGTCATAAAATAGTTGGTCATTGTAGGTGATTGCTGGCCGACCAACCCGTCTTGTGCCATGGCTAGGTGTCCAGAGCAGTAGATCACTTGCAAGTTCTTGCTTTACTCGTCAGCAGTGTCCTGCAAAGCGCATTCTGCGGTCGCGTCAGAATGTAGAAAGATCAGCAATCGGTAAGTAGAGCCGTAATTTAGTTGGATGTTGTCTCCAAGAGATGTTCTGTCCTGGGTATGACGATAAACTACATCCGCGTCCTGGGTAAGACGATAGACTACGTCTAACAGCAAGGTCTCTGATCAGGAGATTTTGAGGAGCGTGAGACTACCTCTTAATTGCTGATTTTCCCAAGTCCACCCCGACCCGGGGTGGTAGCACCTGTTAGGGTCCCAGCTATGGGCAAATAGTTAACCCCAAGCTGGGATCAAAACACTATGAAAGTGTAAAATAGGTTTTAATACCAGAAATACTTTGTAAAAAATTATTACCAGATATAAATTTTTGAAGAAAAAACTTACTATTATTTGAAAAAAAATTACCAGCAATACGTTTTTGAAAATAATATTGACAGCTATACATTTTTTATGAAAAAAATTTTACCAGAAATAGATTTTTGACAAAACAAAATATTACCAGGGGAAAAAAGTTGTCAGCATTAAATAACCCATTGAGGTTGATATGCCGTAAAACAAAATAAACCAAACCAATCTAATCCAAAGAATACATATTCTATTCATATGAATCTATCCTAAAAATGTTGTCGGCTTTAAATAACCCATTGAGGTTGCCGTAAAACGAAAATAAACCAAACCCAACCAAGAGATGTTAAGTATAGTTCTCAGGAGTGTAGGTTATATCCAGGTTAGACTCAAAGGTTTTAGGGTTAGGGTTTTAATGTCCAAGCAGTGGCACCATCCATTAAAACCACCTCTACAGAGGCGTGAAAGAGTCTCCGCTTGTGGTTATCTGGTAGATCAGATTAAATCCATCTTATTCAAAGCTGACGTAGAATTTTTTTCAAATATAAATTATTCTTCTACCCCTTTGCGACTGCTTGGTCTCACACCGTCTGCTGACCTGAGATGGAACAATTACATTGAATCAATAGCATCATCCACTGCAAGGAAATTTGGTTCCCTGTGTCGCGCCAGAAAGTTTTTCTCGACCGAGTCCATCCTTCAAATCTATAAATCAACCATTCTCCTTTGCATGGAATACTGCTGCCATATATGGTCTGGTGCCCCAACTGTTCGCATTAAGGTCCTCGACAAGATCCAGAGACGGATAAGCAATGTGGTACGTCCTGATCTGGCATCTCGTCTACAGTCACTCTCTCACAGACGTACCGTCGCCTCCCTCTGTCTTTTCTATAAAAACTTTCACGGTAACTGCTCCGACAAGCTACTTTCGCTAACTACCAGACTGAATGAATTTAAGCGTGCTACTAGACTGGCATCACGGTCCCACCCTTTCACTGTCGAAACGGTTAAATGTAGCCGTCTCTTCTACTCCAATAGCTTCATATTTCGCACCTCTCATCTGTGGAATTACATTCCTATTATTTGCTTCCCTGATAGCTATAATCTCCAACTATTCAAATGTAATGTCAATCGACATCTCCAGATGCCCTGACCTATTCCCTGTCCTTCTCTTCATTCTTTTTCCTATCATGCCTCTTTACTTTCGCTCCCACTCTGTAACCCCTTGCGTACTAGTGGCATCTCAGGATGAAATGCTTAAAAAAATGATCTAATAAATAAACATCATATGTTTAGGTTTTATTATAATCCTAATAATCTGTATCGGTCTATATTTCTGAGATGAGGTATTATCTACACTATTTACATTATTCGGACTCTTGTCCTCATCTTTGTCGCCATATTTATCAACCTTCAGTATCTGTCTATATTTCTGAGATGAGGTATTATGTACACTATTGACATTATTCAGATTATTGTCCTCATCTTTGTCGCCATATTTATCACCCTTCAGTATCTGTCTATATTTCTGAGATGAGGTATTATGTACACTATTTACATTATTTGTACTATTGTCCTCATCATTGTTGCCATATTTATTACAACGTTTCGGCCGTTGTACGCTCCGGCCTTCTACAGGCGGTTGGAAATAATAAAAATACACATTGATAATTATTACATGGTTTGATTTGATGATTAACAACAAAATTCTTTATAATATCTAATGTTATCAAGAAAATATTTTATCTCCCTTTATGAAGAAAATATAGTTATCTCCCATTATCAAATAGGACAGGAAATATATAACTAAATTCACATTGATAATTATTATATAGTTGGATAATTCCACGGTTGCAATAGCTATTATTGGTAAAAAAAAAAAAAAAAAAAAAAGACATTGATAGTTGTACAATTGGCATTGCAACCGGAAATAACACTCTATCTCTCTCGCTCTCTCACTGTTCTCTCTCTCTCTCTATATATATATATATATATATATAGAGAGAGAGAGAGAGAGAGAAAGAGAGAGAGAGAGGGAGAGAGAGATTTTTCATATTTTTCTTATTTTAATCGAACACGCAATCGAGATCACGAATATTAATTTTTTTTAATTAAATTTTATAAAATTTAATTTTTTATTAAATTTTATAAAATTTAATTTTTAATTAAATTTTATAAAATGTAAAAGGGGTATCCAGTTTGGTAAGTCAATCCATAACCCCCTATGGAAGCCAAAACAAAATATGGTCACACTGCATGATTTCTTAAAATGAAAAATTTTAAATAAAATTTTTAAAAATTGAGACCTAATATGTAATAATATTGGTCCTGACCTGGCATCTCGGCTATAGTCACTTTCCAACCGTTGTAATGTAGCTTCCCTGTGCCTTTTCTATAAATACTTTCATGGTAATTCTTCTGATGAACTCTCTACTATTATATCTAGAATTTATGAATTTAAACGCAGTGCTAGATTGGCAGTTGAAATCATTTACAGTTGAAATGGCGGCTAGATGGAACCGTAAGTTCTATGCTAACATTTTTTCTCTGACACTTTATATCTCTGTTTACCTAAATATTTACTTTTGTCTACACCAAAAAATTAAATAAATATTTATTTGTATATCTGCATGTGTACGTAATCGCACGCATATATGGTTGCCCATATCTCTTTATTTAACTCATTTTCACACGCCTATATATATATTGGATTTTAAAAATTGCCAGTTTTTAATTTTAATATTAAATTTTATCATATAATTTTATAATTATTAGTTAGTATAAATTATTTTTAATATTACACGTATTTAATGATCTGAATAGCTATTATAGCAGGATTTCGTTGTCAAGCTTTTGAATCTTTCTATACTTCGTTTTTGATTGGTTATTCTAGCTTTTGTAACAATGTTTCCCCCTAGTGTAGGATCGTTAATTAATCTGAAACTTTTAAAACCATTTATTTTCTTTTCAACATCATCACTTGATAAGACACAGAGTGTGTTGAAACAAAATGGCTATTTTTGTAGTGATTTTTATAACATACTTATGTTATAATTTTTATAAAAATAATTATATATATATATATATATATATTTTATATATATATAATATTTTTATTACAATACATCATAATAAAACTTTTTACATCGCTTCACAAAAGCTTTCATGTTTCCATACTTTGTTGGCAATAACAGATAACTGTTATGGTGTGGACCATAAAAGATAACGCGGACTCGGATATAAGGTTTAATATATTCTCGGTAAAAGAAGTACAACATTAAACGTGGACAGGAGAGTACTTTCTCTCACTGGTGCTCGTTTACTGTTGTACTTCTTTTACCGAGAATATATTAAACCTTATATCCGAGTCCGCGTTATCTTTTATGGTCCACACCATAACAACTAACAACTGGCGACGAGGCATTCGAATTTATTCGGAAGGAAAGAAACCCTCTCTTGCCGACCATAACAATAACTTTTCTATCATCGCCTGACGAAGTACAATCGAAGTATTGAAACGTGAAAGAAGTATATGGTTGCAGCAGACTTTAGAAGGAGCCAGAAAATCAATCCTAAACAGAAAAAAAATATATTCCTCTGTCTCTGAATAAAAGACTGGGGAGGAATGTGAAATGGGCAATAGGCAAACTTTTTTTTTCTTTTATTGTTCTCTCTCCTTCAAAGTGATGTTTTTCATATTGTCAAACACTCATTAAGCAATTTGCTTGGGGGTGAAATGATTGAAAAATAACACTTGTATACTCAAGCTGCCTTGACCAGGGATCGAACTTTCATTATTTAATGTCTGGTATCCGAACCCGTAGTCTCGACCAAAAATATTCCCTGTACACCCTGTATAAAATAGGGTCGGGTAACTGTTTCCCGAGACGAGACTCTGTCCTTCGATTTAGCCTCGTAATGAATTATTGAAGCACCTGAATAAGTCCTTTTCACTTTAATCTCAAATGGGCCTTAAGGACCTCTGGATATTGTTGTTTTGTTTTTGATAAATATATCCGTTTGCTTAGCAGCATTCCACAATTCAAGTCCTTGTGTCTTATCCTTATTTTCTCACGACAGGAGCGATGACGGCAGACAGGCTGGCACCATTGACCGATTTCACTTGTGCAATGAAAACTCTCAACCGGAAATTATTTTCCACAAAGGTTCATTGATTGCTCCAAATGTCCGACGAACGACAATTTACTATTGATATTTATTAAACACTAGAGACCAACTGGTAGGATATCCAAGGAAGAAGACTGTGTCGCGCCAAAACAATCCACCTTTCGAGAAAATCACCGTCCGTTATTTGTTGACCGGTACTTTTCGGTTATCGGCGCTGAGTTCACTTTTAGGCGGAGACATTAGAGGTTGACTGGGAAGTATAGAGCTGGAAGACAGTCCCAAAAGAGAGAAGTGCTATAGAAGAAACTGTTAGCATAAAACTTACGGTTGCATATAGCCATTTCAATTGCAAAATGATGAGACCTAGCCGCCAATCCAGTACTGCGCTTAAATTCATAAAGTCTTGATACCGTACAGAAAAGTTCACCAGAATAATTACCATGAAAGTAATCAAAGAAAAGACACAAGTAAGATATGTCTCGACGGTGGAAAAGTGATGCCTGATCAGGATCAATAATATTGTAGATTCTTCTTTGGATTTTTGGAAAGCATGGATGAATGGTAGACTTAAAAATATGTAAGATAGATTCTGGAGAGAAACATTGCAGATTCTTCTTTGGATTTTATCAACAATCTCTAAATATATTGCAGGAGCACCGGACCATATGTGGCAGCAATATTCAAAGCATGGATGAATGGTAGACTTATAAATATGTAAGATAGATTCTGGAGAGAAACATTGCAGATTTCTCTTTGGATTTTATCAAGAATCTCTAAATATATAGCAGGATCACCGGACCATATGTGGCAGCAATATCCAAAGCATGGATGAATGGTAGACTTATAAATATGTAAGATAGATTCTGGAGAGAAACATTGCAGATTCTTCTTTGGATTTTATCAACAATCTCTAAATATATTGCAGGAGCACCGGACCATATGTGGCAGTAATATTCAAAGCATGGATGAATGGTAGACTTATAAATATGTAAGATAGATTCTGGAGAGAAACATTGCAGATTTCTCTTTGGATTTTATCAAGAATCTCTAAATATATAGCAGGAGCACCGGACCATATGTGGCAGCAATATTCAAAGCATGGATGAATGGTAGACTTATAAATATGTAAGATAGATTCTGGAGTGAAACATTGCAGATTCCTCTTTGGATTTTATCAAGAATCTCTAAATATATAGCAGGAGCACTGGATCTAACTAACGCCTTTATCCACTGTGACATATGAGAAAAAATTCTGAGCTGCAGACTTAGCAAATGATTCAATCTAATCTTTTCACTTCATCTCAGTTGAAAACATTAGCCTGAGAAGATGCAATCAGCCACTCTCCTGGAGATTAACATAGTTGATATATTTACGGTGAAGAGGGTATAAATCTCTCATTGGATAGAAACAGGGGTCAGTTTTTCCGATGTAAGAAAAAAGATAAAATCTGAATTAAATTGAAAGGGGGTGCCATTTAGTTCAATTGAGCCCGAGGCACTCTGACATGATAACAGTGGAGAGCCATGATCACCGACATCTTGAAGGTACATGTCTTTAACTTTTTTAAAAAATCCATGGCAATTCACAGTGGTCAAAGATAACTTGAACAACATATGAATCTGACACTGGAGCGAGGCGGCAACTGTTCCAAAATATATAAACATGAAAGAAAATAACATTAATTTACATTATACTATTTACAATGCCCTCATCTTTGTTGCCATATTCACAACGTTTCGATCATTGTACTCTCCGGCCTTCTTCAGGTGAATGGAATTTCGAACTAAACCCTTTATTCCCTCCAGCGGGGTAGAGTGTTCTAGTTCCATGTGCCGCGCCTCTTTCTGTTATCTTCCTTTTAACTCAACTCTTTAAGATTTTGTTCACCTCTGTTGTAGCCTTGTATTGAACTCACAACTCTTTAGGTCAAGTTATTGAATTCAACCAATGTTTTTATCCACTGCGTCATGTGTCCTTCGGAAATTACCTGAAGAAGACCAGAGCGTATAACGATTGAAACGTCGTGAATATGGCAACAAAGATGAGAAAAAACCGACCGAACAATGTAAATGGTGTAAATAATTACAATTCCTCATCTCAGAAATATGGATTGGTTCTGAAGAAGGCCAGAGTGTACAATGGCCAAAACATTGTGAATATGGCAACAAAGATGAGCACAACTCTCCGAACAATATAAATGGTGTAAATAATTGCAATTCCTCATCTCAGAAATATAGACAGATCCTGAAAATCCTGGAGCGTACAACGTCAAAACATTGTGAATATACAAAAATTTAAATATCTAGGAAGTGTTTAAACAGAAGACGTAAAATACGACCCCGAAATCAGAAGATACAGGGGGATAGCGAAAAATGTCTTCCAAAAAGTAAGCAAAGTATTACGAAACAGGAAAAAATTCATTATTTGTACTATTTACGCGTCGACTATTATCCCGCTTTTGTTGCTGTTTTCACAAACAAATAAATGGATGTTCTGTTCATCCTTCGTCATTAAAAATATTCCATTTTTCCGTAAATTCACTTCTAAATGTTTTATGTGAATACTGTATCTTTGAGAAATAGTAACTGAGATGGGTACAGGAGTTTGCGTGTAAATAGTTGAAATAATGATCACTCCTCATCCCAAAACCTAAGTAGGAAAATTTCATAACAAACGAAGAAAAGAACACTGAACTATTATGCATTTTTGGTATTTCATATATGGAAATGAATGCTGGACAATCTCATGACAGATGGGAACGATTTGATACAGCAGAAATGTGGTCTTCTAGAAGAATTCCTGCGAATCCCATAGACTGAACACTTGGATAACGACGAAGTTTTAAAGAAAATGGAAACTTATAGATAGTATCAGAAAAGTTGAAATTTTAGGGTACTTAATGAGGGAAAGACGGCTCGGAAAATTTAACACTCACATAATATACTGAAAGCAAGAGGAACAATGGAAACCAGTGGATAACCTACCTAACTGTTGTAATCTAGGGAAAGTTACTGAATAGAATAATCACATGAAGATTGATAATGGACAATAATACTTAGGACAAGAACAACACATATAAGATTCGCCAGAGTCGCGTAGAAGTAGGTAGTCAACTGCTAGAAGTGAGTCAAGGGAATTCCGCAATGAATCTCCAACGGCAGGATATCTACCATCGCCCCATCGGTCAGATGTGGCACAAGGCCGAATTTAATATGGGGCATCCGAGATCGTAGGCTCAGCCAAAACAAAAAAAATCCCCGTAGAACCCGTATAAAACGAGGTCGGGTAGCTGTTTCCCGAGACTAGATTCTGCCCTTCGATATAGCCTCGTCTGGGGATCCTCTCGGCCAGGAGGCAGAGAGATTGACCAGCACAACTGGGGACGAATCTCCCACTACAGGATATCTACCTACCGCCTCACGCGGTTAGATGTGTCACAAGGCCGAATTTAATGTGGTATATCCGTAGCCTCGGCCAAAAAAAAAAAAATCACCGTAGACCCGGTATAAAACGGAGTCGGGTAGCTATTTCTCGAGACGTCACTCTGCCTTGCGAAAATAGTCTCACCTAAAAATCCTCTGTGAACGGAGGCAGAGAGTTTCACCAACACAGCAACTGAAGGATATTTACCAACCACACCACGCGGTCAGATGTGTCACAAGGCCAAATTTAATGTGGGGTGTCACAAGGCCAAATTTAATGTGGGGTGTCACAAGGCCAAATTTAATGGAGGGTGTCACAAGGCCGAATTTAATGTGGGGTGTCTCAAGGCCGAATTTAATGTGGGGTGTCACAAGGCCAAATTTAATGTGGGGTATCACACGGCCGAATTTAATATGGGGTGTCACAAGGCCGAATTTAATGTGGGTTGTCACAAGGCCGAATTTAATGTGGGGTGTCACAAGGCCAAATTTAATGTGGGGTGTCACATGGCCGAATTTAATGTGGGCTGTCACAAGGCCGAACTTAATGTGGGTTGTCACAAGGCCAAATTTAATGTGGGTTGTCACAAGGCAGAATTTAACATGGGGTATCCGAGATTGTAGGCTCAGCCAAAAGAAATTCCCCGTAGACCTCGAATAAAACGAGGTCGGGTAGCTGTTTCCCGGGACTAGACTCAGCTCTTCGACATAGCCTCGTCTGAGGATCCTCTATGCCCGGAGGCAGAGAGTTTCACCAGCACAAGGACGATGTGGCACAAGGACGAATTTAATGTCAGCTATCCGAGCCCGTAGGCTCGACCAAAAATATTCCCTGTACACCCTGTATAAAATAGGGTCGGGTTTCCCGAGACGAGACTCTGCCCTTCGACATAACCTCGTCTGGGGATCCTCTCTGCCCGGAGGCAAAGTGTTTGGCCAGGACCGCTGGATATTTATTGTATATAAAATACAATTGTGGCACAAGGCCAAAATGGGCAGGGGTTGAGGCTGGTCATCACTAACTATCTTATACCTAGCTAATCCGATTCACGGCCCATTCATACATTACAATTTACTCATTCACCACAAGAACTCATCCATCACCAATCAATCCTCCATTCACCATAATACCGCATCCTCTCAAGGGGAAACCTACAAAACACGCCCCATGCCTTAACAATTTAATGATAATAAATATATATATATATATATAAATTCTAATAATGAAGAATGAGAGGGGAGGGAGATGAACCCAATAATAAAACTAAAACTCAACACAAAGTAAACTAAACATAACTGATGCTAGTAGGGCCCGTCCAACTATCTAAATGGAGAGGCCGCTGTATTCTGCACATTGGACAAAATCAAGAGGCTCTCTCGCTAAGGGAGTGGGAAGGTGAAAATATAGATGAACATAGCGAAAATATAAAGCTGACCCAGTCGAGATAAAAAGGGGTCAAAACACACAAGGGGGTGGGGGGTCGTTTCGGGAATCTCGACTTGAATCATAACCAAAGAGGCGGCCGGGAACAGGCCAAGAACAACACTTACATTAACTAGGTACACTGAAGCTTGTCTAACCTAAACAAGGGGAGGGCTCCACAGGAAATCACCCCGATGTGACATAGGTTGACCTAAAAGAGAAAATCAAGGCTAGTCCCA